GGCATTAAAGGTTTCTGGTTAGATTGTTTCCAGTTTTAACTGTGATCACGTCTTATTTTTCCATGTATACTTGTAGCATTTTCCCATCATGTCTCGAAGTAAAAGTTTAAGAAAGAAAAAAATATTAAAAGTTTGTGAAATATTTTTAAAGTCAATTTTATTCAAGCATATTTTATACCTAAAATCACACCCATTTTAAATGTACAGCTGGCATTTGGGCAAATCCGTACACCATCTAACCCACACCACAATCAAACTTCAGAAGTTTCTATCATCTCAAAAAAAAATCATCTTGTGCTTATTTCCTGGCATTTCCCCTTCATCCCTGGCTCAAGGCAGCCATTGGTCTGATTTCTTTTCTAGGGTTTCATATAAATGGAGTCATAAAGTATGCACACCACTATCCCTGGCTTCTTTTTTTCCAGCATAATGCATGATGTTTTTGAGATTCATCCATTTTGGGGGATGTGTGAGTAGTTTGTTCCATTTGATTGCTGCATGGTAATCCATTGTATGATTTTACCACCACTTGTTTATTGTTTATAGCTTTTGGCTCTTATGAAAAGAGCTAATATGAACCTTTAGTTATAGGTCTTTGTATAGCCAGGACATGTGTTTTCATTTCTCTTGGGTAAATACCTAAAAGTGGAATGCTGTGTCATATGAGAAGTAGGCATTTAACTTTTAAAACCATTATTTTCAAGAAGAATCTGCTAAGTTGTTTTCCAAATGGTTGTATTATTTTACATTCCCACTAGCAGTGTGTGAGAGTTCTAGTTCCTCTATATCGCCTCCAACACCAGGTATTAGTGGCCTTTATCATTTTAGCCTTTCCTGTGAGTGTGTAGTGGTATCTCATTGTAGACTTAAAATTATATTTTGTTGATGACTAAATCATATTGAGTATCTTTTCACATGCCTATTTGGAAAATCATATATCTTCTTTTGTGAATTGTCTTTTCAAATATTTTTCCTGTTGTTTTTTTTTTGTGGTTGACTTCTAGTTTTTAAATTTTTTGAGTTCCTTACACGCTCTAGATGTAAGCCATTTGTCAGACATGTGTAATTCCCATATTTTCTTCTATTCTTCAGTTGGCCTTTCCAGTTTATTAATGCTCATTCAAAGAGCAGAATTTTTAGTTTTGATAAAATTCAACTTATCATATTATTTTTAGTTTTGGCCTTTTATGTCCTATTTAGGGAATCTTTACTGACTCTATAGAAAGCAAATGTTACAGACCTGGATGTAATGTTTAAGTTTGTGACACATTTCAAGTTGTTTTGTGTGTGGCATGAGGTGAGCGTTGACTTCAGTTTTTTATGTGCATGAGCAAACTATTATTCCAGAGCCAGTTGTTTAGAAGACTGTCCTTTTTCCATTGAATTAATATGGCACCCTTGCAACACATCACTTTTATTAACTCATTTTTCTCAAGGTTATGGATCACAACTTACTTCTTTGGGGGCATCTCTATCATTTTAGATTGGATGATATGAACATTTGGAACTTTATGTTGTTGATTTGTTGTTTTGCTGTATTTTGTTCCCTTTATAAAAGATTGTCAGACTTTGTCCTGGGAGGCCTTTACATATGCTGTTGTTTTTTCATCCTTTTGGGATTGCTTTTAGGCTGTTCTACGGTTTATCTAGAGTCACCGTTACCTATGGTGTAAAGGTGTAAAAAAAAAAAAAAAACCTCTATGGGTGTTTCAGCACAACTCGACTAAAGTATGACTCTTATGGGTTCATTAGTCAAGGTGATCCATGAGGTTTTCCAGTATCATTGGTCAGACCTTGAATGTCTTTCTAGCCTGTATGATACCTAGGAATTTTTGGCATACCTTTTCTACCCTGTATGATTACTCTTTTTTCTAGCCTGGTTTCATGGAATTTCACCCTAAGTGACAACTTAATATCCCACTGTCAACAGATACAATGTCACCAGATGCAGATTTTTGAAGGCCTTCATGTAGTTTCCTCCTGTCTGGTACTCTCCTCCACAAATTCTGGGCACCTTAGTCTTCTTGCTTCAATCTATGTCTCGTCAACTCAGTGTGACTCTCAGGTTCTCCTTAAGAGTCCTCCTCTGTGCAGCTGGACTGAAATGTGTCAAAGTCATGACTTCATAGGGCTCACAATTTTGTTTCTCTGTTCTTATGGATCATGGTCCAGTTCTGCCTTTTGTCCATTGTCTGAAACAGATGTTTAGTTTTGTAATTGTTTATAGGCGGAAGATAAATCTGATCCTTGTTTTTAACTATGGCAAGAGTATAATGTCTTCACCTTTTTTTACAGACAAGTAAACTGAGATTAGAAAGATTAAGTGATTAGTGATGGGGATCAGGGATTTGGGATTTAGGTTGGAATCCAAAGTTTTGCTGTTAACTAGTTGTACAACTTTGGATACATTATTTAACTTTCCGTCTTGGCTTCTGTATCTTTCAAATAGATACGCTTATGTTTGTGCTTATGACAATAACAATAATAAGAAAAAAATAATGAAATGTTAGATATTATTTCTTACTATTATTGTGAGGATTAACTGAGATGATGAATGTGAAGCATTTAGCATAATGCTTGACATGTTGCGAGTCTTGGATATGGGGTTAGCTAACTAATGATATTGTCCATGATCACTTCGGTAGAATTCTGACTTCAAGTTCAGGAATGTAACACTGATGGACATGGTAGATGTGTTTCCATTATTTGTCAAAACTGTTTTGCTTTTAAAAAGTATCCAGAACAGGAAAATATATTCAGGTCCACCCATAAGACAAAACCCCTGGAAGCAAGGACAGAGTATACTTATTTAATGAAACATGAGAAATCTAGCTTGTATTTGTGGGGAAAGTTTTAAGGAAAGATCCGTGGATCATCCATCATAAATTCTTAGTTCAAGGTAACTATTATTTAAGTAACCACAAGGGATGTATATCTTTAACATAAGTAATTATTAAGTTTCATAGTTTCGAGACTAGTGTTACCCAAAACATAGCTTTTAAAGGACACTATCTAGGTTTCTTTTTGGAACCCCGTAAAGTCTTGAATAATCACAAGTAGGGCTCAACAGAGAAAAATCAGGGAAAGCAGCATGTTCATTGTGGAAGGTTTGTCCGTGTCCTGAGTTGATCCTCACAATGGCAGGTAGACAAGAAATAAGACACAGATTTGTCAGATGTGTAATGGAATATTTCAGCTCAGCAAGGGGAATTTAGAAGTCTTTCTCTGCTGGCTGATCACAGCCACTGTGTCGGCCAACAACATCTGCTTATTCTCAGATGACAACAGTGCCAGTTAATTAGCTCTTGTTTATGTTTTGACTATCGATAGACTTATCTAGTTAGATTGTACTGTCATGCAGTACAAATACATAGAAAGGTTTAGCTTTGATATAAACAAGGCCTTTCCTTTGTTGCAGTGACATTTGAACTATATATCAGAATAAAAAGCTTACAATAAGTCAGGCATAAAAAGTAGATCATCTAAATCAGATAATTAAAAACCATCTGATTAATGATCATTGTGGCTTGAAAGCAAAACACCCTACTTGAATAGAAGTTTAAGTTGATTTTAAAAATGTAGACATTACCTGCGAAAGAGATTGATGCTATAAAAATGCCACCAATATCTCTGCAAGGTCTTCAATCCTCTTTTTGTTTAGACTGTTTTAAAATTTTAATGCTGCATTTGTTAGTATAAAGCATATTCTTCATATGAAATTATTGAACTAGAGTGAATTTCATTCTTTTATGATCATTAAAAAGCTTTCCCTCTTCTGATCCTTGTAAGTTCTCTTTCAACAATACGTACGAAAAGTGAAGAAAATGGTGTTTCTAGAAGCCAGAATAACATAACACTTGTAGTCGTTTAAATCGCAGAAAAGTTTGTTTCTTTGCAGTACATTTTGTGTAATAAGGCTTCTGTTGAGGGACCCACTACAGCGTTCTGGGGGTGTTCAGATATTTTTCTTCTGGAGACACTGCTCTAGACATTGCTGTTCCCATTTAAGGGCTTGTAGGCTAGAGTTGATCGTAGGCAAGGGATCCCTCAAGGGAAGTGTGTCAGAGATCCTTGCCTTTTCCTCTACCTTCTTGCTTTGCTTTTTCCCTGCTTCCCTTACTCTCCACGTCTCTTCTCAAAGAAACATAAAAAGACACCAGTCAGAATATAGATATGCTGGCTTAGTCTCCTTGATTAGACACAATCCAGCCATCGGGAAGCTAAAACCAAGATGATTATTTGTATAACTCTTAAAGCTGGAAGTTTTGAAATACATTGCAAAAAAAGAAATTTTAAAAAGCAGTTTTAAATGCACCATTCTGGCTCTGCAACACTGCCCTCACATCACTAAGGTAATTTAGCATGGAAAGTGGCTTAGGCAATCATAAAAGTTAAGGAGCTGCCTGCCACTGGCAGTGTATTAGTTCCAGGGCTTTCCACAGAACGTCAACCAATATGACGTTTCGATCCCTCGTGTCCAAGAAGTGGTCAAGGTTGATCAGTCAGCTTTCGACAGAAGAATTGGCTCCTGATGGAGTGGCAGCTATAAGCGTCGGATTTTTCTTTTTTAGGAAAGTGATACACTGAAAAATAATATCATAATTATGTATTTATGAAGCGTTGGTTTCTACATACTGAAGATTTGACAATGATTGCTAGAACAAATTATTACATTTCTAAAAAAATTTTTAAAATGCACAAACTCCATCAACTGAGCGGAGTATGAAAACTCGCAATCTCGTTATCATCTTACTGAATGCAGTACAGCGTGTCATAAATGCCCTTATATCCTTGTCACATAGTGTGAATTACCAATAGAAAGACCAAAGAGATGGTAAACTGACTTCCCTTTAATGGAGTCTGATATGTGAATCCTTTGTTCCTTTCTCACTTATTGCAAATGTCTATCATTAGTGAGTTCTCATGTTCAAATAATCGGCACCCAAATATTCATAATTATGGGAAGACAATACCATTGCCATTTTCACAGTCATATATGATATTTTTAGTGTGTTGAATATAGTAATTATTTATTAAAAGTAACACATGAAAATATGAATAAAATATCTTTATGTACAAAGTGGCATGGCATGATTTCTACCTAATATTTAATAATACACTTGCAAATTGTCCCTGCATTAACATAGTACAAAACAATAAATACAAACATTAGGTAATATAAGAACACCAAGAAAATAGGAAGGTCTCCATGGATAGGAACTGTCGGCTCTGGAAACTTTAAACTCAAGGCAAGGGCATGTCATCAGGGAACCCATCTACCTGGGCTGTCAGGTTAACTGCTCCCAAAGGTCCTTCCTAAAACTCCCAAGAATGTTCCTATAAAATGTAGTAATATGCTTTTTTTATGTCTCAAATCACAGGAGAGGCCCAGGCTTCTTTTGGATTCTATGAAGTTACTGTATGCCACCTGGACATCACTTTATTGGGACAGGTGACTGGCAGACCGGAGAGCAGGACTGGGCGTCAGGTACGAGTCCACGAAGTTCTCTCCGTTGCTACCCCTGGAGCACCGAAGCTGAAGATGAAGCCTGTGCGGGGGGAAAAAAGTTCAGACTGCAAGAAAGTGAAGATGTAGAGGCTCTGCAGTGGCCATTTCTTATTAAGAAATGTTGGTGACAGGCTGAATTTTTTCCACCCCGTGGAATCACTTGACTCACAAGCACTTCAAACTCATCGTGTCTGAAGGAAAACACTATGCAGTAGCCCGACCCCCACCCCATCCGTGGTTTCCCATCTCCTGGTTTCAGCTACTTGTATTCGGCGTCGGTCCAGATGCAGATGGTCCTCTTTCTGACCTATCGATCAGAAGGTCAATAGTAGCCCAAGGGTACATCACAACACCTATGTCATTCACCTCACTTCATCTCATCAAGTAGGCATTTTATCATCTCACGTCATCATAAAAAGGGAGACTAAAGTACAGTAAGACATTTTGAGAGAGGGAGAGAGATGAGAGAGAGAGACCACATTCACATAACTTTTACTGCTGTTTCTTTCCAGAACTGTTTTCTTTTGGTATTAGTTATTGTTGTTAATCTCTTACTGGGCCTTATTTATAAATTAAACTAATCATAGGTATGTATGTACAGGAAAGAAACATAGCATGTACAGGGTTTAGTCTGTCCATGGTTCCAGGCATCCACGGGAGTCTTGGAACATGACCCCCATGGATGAGGGGGCACTACTGTCTTGCCTGCCAAACCTGCTCCCTCTCACCGCATAATTCCTATCTCTGCTCTAACCTCCATGATCCACCCAGGCACTCATGCTGGAAATGTGGGCATGTCTATACTTGTAATCTTCCTCATTCCTCACTGCCCACATTCCATCAATCACCACCTCTGGAAAAGTTCACCTTCCAGACATTTCTCTCTTCTGTTCTGCCTCTTCAGCTCCATCCCTACTCTATCTGCAGAACTGGCGAAGCCCCCGTGCCTTTCTTAGGGAAGATCGCAATAGGCTTCTAACTTCTCTGCTTCCAATCTTACTCCTCTTGAATTAATCTTTATTAACATGCAGTGGTGTGTCTCAAGCATAAATATCATCATATATATCATCATCTTCTGGTTAAAGTGCTTAACTCTACCCTATCATTAATGGGACACAGCTCAAGGTCTGCTCCTGGGGGTGACAATGTGAGTGAGACTTTTATTGGCAACTTTCAGACTTTGCTGCTGTGTGCTTATCAGGGTGAAGTGTGAACAGACAACTCTCCAATTCTCCTCTACAAGAAGGAGAGAAGCAGAGCCACAGCTTTGTTTTCTCACTAGGGGGTTTCTACTTCGCAATGCAGAGACACCTTTCTGTGTTGGCCCCCAGAGAAGCAGGGGAGGGAGGCTTCTGTGCCTAAGTGGGGACAAGGGGAAGAGGTCTGACCTGGAAGGGCTTACATGTTGTGTTGCTGTTGATGGCAGTACTGGTGGTTCCCAAGAGTCTAGGTGGGGTGTGCAGTGGTACCAGGGATAGAGACCTGCCCCGTCCTCTTTCATGGCGTGGTTGGTGGAAACAGGGACTTTGGTAGGTTTAGTTAGTTATACTGCTGCCTCGCATGGGGGAAAGTTAGATACTGGCGGCCATAGTGGAGAGTGGCTTGGCGAGCAGGTAGTGGCCACAGGACCCACGCCTTACACTACAGAGAAGACTGTAGAGCAGGGCATTTCTGATGCCCTCCCAGAGTATCTGCAACTGACAGATGGTCCAGTGTATGCTAGCATAGCTCTAGAAGAAGCACAATGACTCTAGGCATGACTGTGGAACAGAATCCTCTCCCAAATTTGGAACTAATTCACTGGGTATGTTCCACCCAAGGTTGTGTGTATGGAGGGCTCTCCCAAAATGAGTACAGGTCTTGGTGGCACTCATGAAGGAAGAAAGAATCTGATTTTATTCTGCTTAGAAAAAGTATTTCATTTTCATTTTGTGAAGTCCTTGATGATTTCCCATGGAAAACAAGACCTCTCATGATCTGGTGCCATCTTCAGCCTCATTTCCCAGCCTTTGTGACATTGACCTATATCTTTTGGGCCAGTGCTTCTCAAGCTACCTATGGTGAAGAACCGGACTGTGTGTTCAAAAATTTCTAATCAGCTGCAAACTGATAATAAAAAAAATGCAATAGCATGAACAGAATGTTGCAGCAATATCAGATTGCTATAACAACTTTTATGTGCTTATACTCAGGTTCTACACTTAATCCCACCACAGAACAGTATCAGTGGTTCACTGACCAGGCAGCAGACATGCACAGCACTAGGCCAACCGATTATTTAGAATTTCTTTCAAATACATGCAGTTTCTTATCCTGTAAGTCTCAGCTCAAATACCATCTTTTCTAAGCAATTTGCCCTTCAATTTCAAGGTACCATGTCTAACTTTACATACCACTATCTTATTATTTACCGTATGAAGGTAAAATTATCTTCCTCACATGTATTTCTCTTCACTTCTATAAGCCCCTTGAGGATAGCAGCATGTCATGAGCCTTTTTACACTTGTCCTTGAACTTGGCAAAGAGCAGGGTCTCTGTCATTTTTGTTCACCTGACCCCTACTTCTCTGCTGGTGAATCCCCAGGTGAAGTCAAGAGTTTGCAGCACAGATCATCTAAGTAAACACCTGGATTTATGTGAGTAAGATAATGCTCATGATTAATACTGTGTATTTTTTTTCAAGAATCAGCAAGCAATAGGGGAACAAACTGGAGTTTTGGTCAGAGTATATGCCACATTGAAAATCTTTCTCGATACATGGATTTTTCATTAATTATTTTTTTCATTAGTTGGCAGTTTCAATTTGAATGTCTGTACCAATATCAGTTATTTGCTTCCTTTCCAACATTATAATTTCTCTAAATTTAGTGTGTTATCTTCAATAACGATAATGCAGGACTTTAAGGCCATTGAATGTCTCACAACCCTAAAATTTTATAAATTTATGGACCGTGGGGGAGAAGAAGGGGGAAAATGGGGGGGGGAGAGGGAGGGAGGCAAATCATGAGAGACTCTTGAATGTTGAGAACAAACTGAGGACTGATGGGGGTGGGGGAGAGGGGAAGGGGGGGATGGGCATGGAGGAGGTCACTTGTGGGGATGAGCACTGGGTGTTATATGGAAACTAACTTGACAATAAACTATTTAAAAAATCTGATTCCAGAAAAAAATAATGATTCTTATAAAGAATAAAATGTTCACTTTTGTAACAAAGTATCATAATTGATTGTTTCACAACACTGGTGACACTTTATAAACAAACAAGCAAAATAGTCTTAAAAGAAAAGATCTTTCTGTCCTGGTTTTACAGATGTGGTGCCCAGTGCAAAGCATTATTGAGAAGTTTGTTCACCATACCTGGGATCAGGAAAATAAATCTCTTTCATGACATTTTCTTTTTAGTTCCTGCTATTTCATCTTAAAATGTAAGAAAAGTAATTGAAAAACATGTTAAGCTCTTCTGGAAGTTCACAGAGATGCTTTTAGATGATCACGGTACCATTGAGAAATGACAGAAAGAGTGAATTGTATCTGGGAGAAAAATGAAAATAGGTAACATTCTGATATTCAAAAGCTCTGTGAGATGAGACTTTCATACAAGCTACTGGTCTTTTCAGACCACTGGGTATTGATCTGAAACTCCTGCCACTTCTTAGACTGTCAGGAGGCTTGGAACAGAATGGAGGGGGAGCCTGCTGGTGAGGGAGCAAGCAGGTCGCAGGAGCTCCCTGCCTTCCTCTAGCACAGAATAGGTCCTGGAACAATCAAATGCTTTCTGTTGAGTTTTAAAATTGCCCCTCTTCCACTCACCTATTTCTTGGACATGTTTGCATGTAATTAAAAAATCATCTTGAGAATTACTTTTGCTCAGTTATATAATCTTTTTGATTGGATGAAGCATAATTTACTTGAAATTTCCGTATCATTAGACATTTAAACTGTTTCTACATGTTTGCTACTATTCTTTGTATATTAATCTTTAGTCACGTTTCAAAAAAATTTTTAATGTTTTTTTTCTTTCTGAGAGACAGCGTGAGCAGGGGAGGGGCAGAGAGAGAGGGAGATACAGAATATGAAGCAGGCTCTGGGCTCTGAGCTGTCAGCACAGAGCCTGATGCAGGGCTCGAACCCACAAGCTGTGAGATCATGACCTGAGCCGAAGTCAGACGCTACCGACTGAGCCACCCAGGCGCCCCTTTAATCACATTTCAAATAACGTTCTTATGAAAATTTCCTACAAGTGAAGCTACTGGGTGACAAATGTAAAGCCTTTAAGTCCTTTAGTGAAAATACTACCAAACTGTTCTTCAGAAAGATTAATGGAATTTATACTTCCAAATGCAGCATATGATATTATTTGCTTCACTAGTATGATTTTTAAAAATTAGGAAAAAGGTTTAATTAAATTGAGGGTTATAATTTCACATTTTTAAAAATTTTATAGTAACCCTTCTGTAATTTTATATTACCATTTCTATTTCTTCCTCTATGAATTGCCTGTTCCTAGCCTTTATTCATTTTTCTATTTCCTAATGTGTATAAATGTCTTTGGTATATTTAAGATGTTAATTCTTTGGTCTCATATTTATGACAAACATTTTCTCAATTTGTTTTTTATTTCATAATTTTCTTTATGATAATTTTTTTGTGTTTGGAAGTTTTAAGTCATAATGTGGTAGAATTCCTATCTATCTTTTCCTTTGAGTTTACCTATACTGTTTTGTGTCTTAAAAATTTTTAATCAGTTACTTAATAAAACTTATATAATTTTTTTTCCTATCTCTCTCTCTCTTTTTGCATTTAGGTTTTTATACATCTTCCCCCAGATAGACATTATTAGCTAGTGTCTCTACCTTCATGCTCATTACTGACAAATTAGTTCAGACCATTTGTTGGCATCAATATAAAGGAATGTACTTTGCCTGCTCTACATTTTTTACATAGAGATTCTGGCCTTAGCAGAAGTTCTTCATGACAGTAAATTGATTCCTTTAGCTATGTCATCCTTACCACTCCCTATCATAAGAGAATTAATCTCAGAAGAAAATAACAGAGCACATTTGCATTGTAAATGAGCACAAATATATTTAGAAATGCATATTCCTAATATATTTCTAATCTTTGACTCTGGTGGCCTTCAAAACTTAACAGAAATTATTTATCATTAATAGCTATTTTGAAGGTGGTACCCGCTAACAGATGGGACTGAAGTGAATTATACAGGGAAAGGTTAAGCTACAATGATCCTTTTCTTATTCTTAAAAAGTTATGATCCCTAAATGGAGCAATCCATCTGCAGTGAAAGGATAATATTTTATTGAAACCCTTACCAATTTTCCTCTTGTTGATATGAAAGTCTCAGAGATTTTGGAATCTGTTTGAATTGATGAATCAGTATCAATCATACTCACATAGCTTTTAATTTTTTTTCTCTAATTATTACCTTATTTCTTGTATGTGATTTCATGTTCCCACTAGGAAAAGCTTTGCAGAGGGCAAGGATCTTAGATTATAAATATTTTGGAATTCTTCTCTGCCCTGTCAAATCACATTAAAGATAATGCTCTGCACAAAATAGAGAATTGATATATGAGGCAGCAAGCATTAAATGTATCTAGAAATTGATTTGAGATGAAAAATTTTAACACTATGAACTTTTCTATATTAGTGTTTGCTGTACCCACAGTTCCAAAGTTCTTAACTTCTTTACCCAAAGCTTCTGGGTTTAATGACTACATTCCTATTTATTCTGAATCTCTTGAGTTGATATCTGATTTCTAATTAATAACCTAGAAAGTCATTACTCAGTGATTACTACATTCAAAGCATAATGATTGCCAAGAGAAATATACTGAAAAAAGTAAGACAAATAGTAGAATTGACATGTCAAACTTGTGTCTTCCTGTTCTGATCTTTACTCTTCAGAACATGGTTATGTAATTCCAAAATTACAGAGGAAAGTGACAAAAGCTACTTATTTCTGAAAATTGAAAGACATGAAATTAAAGGCTAAGAATATTTTTTAAAGTATAAAGAATGGAAAGGAATTGGAACTGGACAAAAGTTTATTTTGTTAAGCTCGTTTGGATCACCGCTATCCCTTACTTCCGTGTACCTTATCTTTCCAACTGAAAAGAAGACTTTGTCTTCTTCCAAATTGGACAGTTAGTCACTAAGAGTTGAGCATTTTGATAATTTAGAAAGCATCTTTTGACTAGCCACAAGGTTGAAAGAAACCCTGGCAGTCATGTGAGGAAGCTTTCCACACACCAGTTAGGTTTGGACACCTGTCTCCACAAACTTCTTAAATTTCTCAGCTTATCCAACGTTGCATCTAAAAATGTCCATCGCAAAAGGATAGGCAGACTCTCAGATTCCTCTCTTTCTAATCCACCCTTGGTGGCTAGAAACGGATAGCATCTGTTACTGGTGTTCACATCTGGATGGCAGTCCTCTGTCTCCATCTCCTGCTACTGGCTGGAGAAACAAGGCGAGCATCATCTATTCTATAAGTGCTCTCTAAGTGTCCATAACAGTAGTGTACTAGTAGCTGGGTAGTGGACATAGGTAGTGGACACAAAAGTAATATTCCTTCCTGAGTGCCTACCATTGTGGTCAGCTCAATTCTGAGCATATATGTAGTTGTTCTTTTGCTTTTTTACTATGAGTTGCCAAAGGGTGAATTCTTCTGCAGGTTCTAAAAAGCATCGGACACTAATTGTGAGGGTACTTAGTCAATGCATCTTGTGAAAACAAAACTAAAATCAGAAGAAAATCTCCTTAATTCTAGGAAAGCAAAAGAGGATCCTATGCTAAACCGAGAGGGTTAATTCTAGCAGGCGAGAAATTGGCCCGAGCTGTTTTACTGAAATAGGAAATGGGTGCACATTGCGCGGACCCCCGGTCAAAGCACAGAACATGCAGGATAACGGCGTTGCTTGTAAGCATAGTTTTGAGAGGTTTCAACTATTTATTGATTCACAATTGCTGCAATGAGATTGCTCATTTGCATCTGTTCTCATAGAGACACTGGCGGGCTCCGTCCCTCGGCTAGTTATTTAGCAGCATTATGTCTTTGTGACCAGCTGGGTACCAGAAGCCCCAGCTGAGACTACCTTTTTGGATCACCTTGTTTGAGGTGCTTTGTGTACTCGTCCATGGTTCCTGCACCCACAGGGAAAGGACATCCTGGTGCAGTCCTTATAGATGGAGGACAAATGGACCTCTTTCCTGCCTTCTCTGAACCCCGTGCGCGGCGCCCGTCTTTGGCCGGGATGCATAGCCTTACATTAGCGCAGCTGCTGCATCATATCTTTTTCTTGCAATAAACTAAAAATGTGTAAGCTTTGTCATGCTGGGTCCTTTGAGTCTCTGTTAGCAATAGAACCCTATCTAACTGCCACTGTTAGCATGCATTTACTGAACGAGGTAAAGGAAAACTGAATTTACATGAAAACATTGCCAATAGGCAGGGTGAATTGTGTCATTTCTGTAGTCAGCAAGGCAACTGGAAGAATCTTCTTACAGCCCCCAATATATGCAGTCCTCTGGCAAATCTTAGACCTTGTTTTTCGACAATTAGACCATGATGGTTTCCCTGACACAAACCACTAACTTTTCAGCTTGTAGAAGTCTTTTGAAATACTCTAAGCCATGGCACTCTAAGAAAGCAGATATTAATGAGCATCTCAGTGAATGAAATTTTAAAAACTTACATATTTATTGCCCAGGTGTGGAGAGGATTCGTTAAGCTGTCAGTTCTTGATTTTTCCTTGTGCAGAATGCTCACCTACAAACAGAAGACATATTTTGATCTCTAAGCTCAGAGAGTGGATAAGGATGAAAATAAGGTTTTTTGGCTTGTTTTTTGTTTTTCAGGGAAAGTCCAATTTCCCTGCAAGAATGTCATTAGAGCCACAGTCTGCCTCTTGGTATCCTGGAAATTGTTCATCAAGATTTATGAGCCTTTTTCCACCATTATCTGGTTTCACCCTAAAGGGGCAATGCCCAGCTAATGGCCTAGGTGCGGAGGGTGTGAGTTAGGAAGTGATAATAAGAGAGGCACCCTGGGGAATGAGTTATAGACTTTTGCTTGTTCCTTGAGCCTAAGCAAAACTGTATTACATATTTAAAGTGCCATTTTATCAGAAAGACAGTCTAGGGTCCTCGGTTTAAAGAATTGGGCAAGAGTTTTGTGAAAAAGAATTTACAAACCGACATAAAGCCTTTGCTGATATACAGAGTAGTAGAGGGGGCATTAGTCAAAATAATAGTGTTATTCCATCACCCAGTATAAAGATAAACATTGACCTACGATGAAAGAAGCAGAGGATCCTAAGTGTGTTTATGTGCCCGTGAATTCATGATGAACACACTTCACACTACCTACGTCTTTCAGGTAGATTCAAGTATCAACATCAGTCACACATAAAAGGAGTGTGGATCAAAGTTTCCAGCTTTGAGAATACATGCCATTGTTTTGCTCCAGCTTTTATCTGTCTTTTAGAAACCTGTCTTCTGGGAACTCCGTTGACGTCCCCTGTCACCAGCACTATCACGGTGATAATAAATAGTGCCAGAGACCCAATGAGGAGAACAACCCGGGGCTCCCTTTCAAGGACCCCTTAGGTGTGGTGCTCTGAGAAATGTCAGGTACAGAGCGATTGCCCTCCTAGCTGCTTTCTATAACAACTCTTTGCTCACTATCGTTATTTTGCAAAAAGCACAGCACCTCCTGGAATTCGTGGCTATGAAGTCCAGGAATGGGAAGTGAACAAAATAAACATTTATTGAATCCCTACTGTTCATCAGAGTCCTGTCAAGCAAAGCATATGAAAATTGTTCTAATTCCTAATATCTCCCTCCGAGTTCTGTCTAACTGGGAATAGAAAATATGAGAAAGATTCAGTTGCAATATGAATCCAATAGGTTATAATAATGTCTATGGTAAAAGCAAATGAAACACACACCTAGAAAAGAAACAGCTGGAAAAAGATACACCAATGCCATTAGTGATTATATCGTATTGTGCTTCATGAGAACTTTTAAATTCTTTTTTAAATCTTTTCGATTCTCTAGTTTTCTCTATTCTCCATTATGCATCCTGTGGTCAAATATTAAAATGGAAGTTTAAGGGGCTCCTGGGTGGCTCAGTCAGTTAAATGTCTGACTTGGGCTCAGGTCATGAGCTCACAGTTTTTGAGTTCGAGCCCTGGGTTAGGCTCAGTGCTGACAGCTCAGAGCCTGGAGCCTACCTCAGATTCTGTCTCCATATCTCTCTGCCCCTTCCCCCAGTCATGATCCCCGCCTCATTATCACGTATAAATAAACATTAAAAAATTTAATAAAATAAATAAAATGGAAGTTTAAGCCATGAAGAGCTATTTCAAGGCAGTGATGTATATTAATTTGCCAGATGAAAAAATAAGTTCAGAAGAGGAAAAGACAATGTACATCTAGGACAGTCAAGGAAGCCTTGGTGGAAATGGAGGGAATGGGCAGATATTGAAGGGCTGAGAAGACAGAAGCTGAATCGATGTATGCCTTTCTAAATCTATGAATCTTTTTGCTCATCTTTACACTTTTAATCATTCATTCATTCCCTCTTTTATTTGTAAAAATAAATAAGCAAGAAAAAAAAGACTGCACATTTAACCATTTAAGTAATTACCATAATATACTAATTAGTATTAGGGTACTAATAATATACTAATAATGTGTAATTACCGTAATGGTGAAGTGGCAGGGGGTGGGGGACAGAAGGGGTGATAAAAGGGACCAAGACACCATCTCCTCCTTTGAAAGCACTTGAGTTCAGCAAGGGAGACAGGGGACAGGAGGTGAATGGTACTTGGAGAATATGAGTTGGTAAGTGGTTCACAAACTGAGCAAGAGAAGTCTTGTGCATCATGAGAGGCCTTATAGACATGCCAAAGTGAACTTCATCTTAGACAATACAAGCCTAGCAGTTTTCTAAGCAGAGGAATACTATAATGAGTTCAGATTTGCTTTTTCTTCTTCCAAATGGTTCAATATCAAGTAGCACTTTATTTTTTTACATTTCTTTATTTATTTTGAGAGAGAGAGAGAGCAGGGCAGGGAGAGTGAGAATCCCAAGCAGACTCCACACTATCAGTACAGAGCCTGAGGCAGGGCTCAATTTCATGAACTGTGAGATCATGACCTGAGCCAAAACCAAGAGTCAGACATTTAACCAACTGAGCCACCCAAGTGTCCCTCAAGGAGTGCTTTGTTTTTTTTCTTAAATAGTTTATTGTCAAGTTGGTTTCCAAATAACAACCAGTGCTCATCCCCACAAGTGCCCTCCCCTATGTCCATCACCCCTCTTCTCCTCTCCCCCACCCCGATCAGCCCTCAGTTTGTTCTCAGCATTCAAGAGTCTCTCATGGTTTGCCTCCCTCCCTCTCCCCAACTATTTTCCCCCTTCTCTTCTCTCATGGTCCTCCATTAAGTTCCCCCTAATCCACCTATATGTGCAAACATATGGTATCTGTCCTTCTCTGCCTGACTTATTTCGCTCAGCATAACACCCTCAAGGTCCATCCATGTTGCTACACATGGCCAGATTTCATTCTTTCTCATTGCCATGGAGTATTCCATTGTGTAGATAAACCACATCTTCTTGATCCATTGTCAGTTGATGGATACTTAGGCTCTTTCCATGTTTTGGCTACTGTTGAGAATGCTGCGATGAACATTGGGGTACATGTGCCCCTAGGCATCAGCACTCCTGTATCCCCTCAAGGAGTGCTTTAAAATGAAATTCAAAGATACTATGCTTTCTTTCTTCTGGGAAGTCATATATTCTTTAAGCAGTTTTCTTCATAATTCCTATAGTCTTTAATATTGAAAAGAAGACAATGTATATGAACTTTCTGAGATGTGATATAAGTAGCAATCATATTTTTTTTTTAATTTTTTAATGTTTTATTTATTTCTAGGAGAGAGAGAGAGACAGCGTGAGCAGGGGAGGGTCAGAGAGAGAGGGAGTCACAGACTGAAACAGGCTCCAGGCTCTGAGCTGGCAGTCAGCACAGAGCCCGACGAGGGGCTCGAACCCACGAACTGCGAGATCATGACCCAAGCGAAAGTCGGCCGCTTAACCGACTAAGCCACCCAAGTGCCCAAGACAGGCAAGTATTTTAATCTGTCAACATGGTCTTTGCCTCTTTTCAAAAGTGTATCCCTTGTGATTACAATGTTATCTTTTATTATTTTTACTTTTAAAAATATTTTTAGAAGTTTNGAGCTGGCAGTCAGCACAGAGCCCGACGCGGGGCTCGAACCCACGAACCGCGAGATCATGACCTAAGCGAAAGTCGGACGCTTAACCGACTAAGCCACCCAGGCGCCCCAGTAGCAATCATATTTAAGATGCATTACGGCACATAGGTATATTTTGAGGTCAGTCATGGTGATGTTTGGCTTGGCAAGATTTCTGACTAAAACTGAGTGGGATCTTACATTTTCTCATAAAGGATTCCCTGATCTGCCCTATTTGGTCCTCCTTTGTTTCTGAAAGCAGATTCTTGTTGAACTCTAGCAGACTTTTTCTTTTACATTGAAGAACGCTCCTAATTTAAATAGTCAAATTTTAAACATTTAAAGGTTGCATTGTCAGCAGAGGACCCTACTTGAGAGAGGACATATTTGAAGAAAGCAAGAGGTGTGGATGAATAAACAATGTGGCCTAATCAGAGGAAGCTTTGGAGCAAGGAACTGTCTTATTAGGAGAAAATGATCAGAACAACAGCGATGGCTCCTGGGGGCTTCTGGGAACCCAGACACTTTAGTATTCACTGGCATTTCCCCTGAAGGTAGGTTGCTACAGAGCTCTGTTTCCTTGGAAACATGATTTATTGACCTCTAAAATGGCACAATTTATTCTGAGATGTAATACCAGCGCTTGTAAATTAAAGTACTGACCAATCCAATGAGTTCATATGGCCACTGAAGCTCAAATTTCATTTTGTTACCGCTTAGGCACATTAACACTATATTTCTTAGGCCACAGAGCAAATAACATAAAATGGAACAGTCATCAATTCTGAATGGTGGGTAGTCAGATATTCGTTCTTTCAAATTCTTTTCTGTATTTTTCAGATTTCTCAAAACTTTTATATAGGAGGTAGTGGAAAATGTAGCCGAATGCATGTATTTGTACCAAAGCTAACCATTTTAAATTTTATTCTAGTTACATTTTAGGAAAAATATTACTGTTGGGCAAAATATATTTACGTAAGAATAATTGTAACAATGTAACTTCTGTTGAGTATGGTGAGCATAGTGTTATTAAAAACGCATATTTGAATCAATTTAAAAGAAGTGAACAGAGATTTGTTGATGAGTGTGTCAGGGGCTAGACCTTAATAAAAACTGTGTTGGTACAAACAGCATTTGTAGATCATTGTGTTCTAGATTATTAGTTCCAGGCCATTGAAACTGACTCTGGGGGCACCTTGGTGGCTCAGTCCGTTAAGCGTCCGGCTTCAGCTCAGGTCATGATCTCACGGTTCATGGGTTCAAGCCCCGCGTCGGGCTCTGTGCTGACAGCCAGCTCAGAGCCTGGAGCCTGTTTCAGATTCTGTGTCTCCTTCTCTCTCTGACCCTTCCCTGTTTATGCTGTCTCTCTCTCTTTCTCAAAACTAAATAAAACACTTTTTAAAAATTTAAAAAATACTGACTCTGAATGAGCAATTTTAATTTTGCCCTATCACCAAATATTTCCCGTGAAAATCAGATGGGTTGGCCATTGAAAGGTTATTTCATTAAAAGAGGTATGATTCTTAAATGAAAATTGGCGGAAATAAAATGACCAGAGAATAGATTTTATTATTTCCACAGTAATACTTCCTCCTCAGACCTGCGACCCAAAAATTTACTTATGATGAAAAGGAATCTTGGAGAATTAAGGGTCTTCCTAACTACCCCACCATAGTCTATTTCAATAATTACTCTGGTGACAATGTGAATGGGAGATATCAGTTTAAGTCGAAGTTTCCTTGGACCTTAAAGAAGAATCACATAGTAAATTTGCAACCAAGAAACACAAGCTTCTCTGGAATTTTCCCATCCTCAAGTCTCAATTCTGGTGTCAGTTGTCATTTCCCTGATAGAAATGGGGGACAGCATAGCAGGTGGTCCTGATCTCAGCCCTCTCCTTGCGAGGATAGCCAGGGGCTCCTACAAGGAGGCTTCTTCCCAATCCTGGGTAGCCTGCTAATCCACAGCTCAGAGAGCCCCAAGGCCACAGAGTATTTTGTTAAATCTCCAAGGGAGTAAGGAGAGTGCATAAAATTATCCTGATGCTTGTCTACACACAGGCAGGTTCTGAGAACTTTGCTTGGCAAATGGTGTGATCACACTAAGGATCCTTATTTAATAAGACTAGTTCGCATGTAGGCTGCTCTTCCCTGACCTGGTAGAATAGGCTTAGCAACTGAGTCAAGGTTGGTGAATAACCAGGGGAAACCTGTACGTGGTTTCCAATTATTCTATGAATAAATTTCACTTCTGTGTCCATTCAGGAGTTACCTCTAAGAGAACAGTGTGGGAATAAAGGAAATGCATACATCGAAGAGTAGAATAGATGCAAGAATGAAGAAGGCTCTCATAAGAGCAAATGACTCACATGAGGGGTCTGGGCATGTCTCTGCAGATACTGGGTGCCCTTCCTCAGTTTTCAAGTCTTCTGTGTGTGTGGTGTAGTTTGTTCTAGTTAGAAATTCCTACCTGACGCTGGGACCACATTCAGGCTTTGATACCTCACTCTTGAAATCAGGACAATATTGGTTGCTTTTTGTTTGACAAAATTGTTTTCTGCTGCATAAGTATAATGCAGCTTGTCATTCCATAGCTCTCATGTTATATACTATATATATAGTACATGTTATATACTATACAAAATAATCATTTTATACAGGTAAAATGGGGTGGCTGCATATTTTAAGTGTATTCATTTAACTTGATATTTAAATTAGATCTACAAGGATTGTTTTGTTGAGTAAATAATTATTTTTTATTTTATTGATTTTTTTACTTTTAGGGAGAGAGAGAGAGAGAGAGAGAGAGAGAGAATATGAGGGACAGAGGAAGAAAGAAAGAATCCCGAACTCCACAAGAAGCCTGATGCAGGGCTTGATCCCACAGTCCTGGATCATGACCTGCTCCAAAATCAAGAGTTGGATGCTCAACCAACTGAGCCACCCAGGTGCCCCATTATTCATATGGCTGTTTTGTAATATTGATGTTTTAAAAATTTGGTCTACCCAAAACAAGAAAAAATCTTTAATTCTTCATTTTTAAAAGCTATATGACATCTCATTTTTCATCATTCTTGATGCAAATATAAGTAACATAAATCACAATCTCTTTTTTGAAAAATGTATACATTTCAAATCTGATTTAAAAACCTAGGATATTGGGGAAAAAATTAAATATTACCAACAGGAGATTATGGTTTCTCCTCATTGGGAAACTCAATTAAAATTATATGAAGTAATACAAAATAGGATTTACATTTTAACTGATGAGCTCTAGTTCTAGTTGACTATAGGTAGCCCTTAGCAAAAATAAAACAATAGCAGTAATAAAAGACCGTGTGGCACATTTAATGTTTTTCTGCTACTGCTACAGAATAGAAAATGCCTTGAGTTCCCACCCCTTCTTTAGAACACATATACACATTATAAAAAGCAACCTCTAAAAGTACAATGGTCCAATAATCTTCCCAAAAATAATATTTCCAGGACTCCTCTTTCCTCTATAGGAGAATTTTGTATTTTGGGGTAGTTACTAATTATTTCTAAATATATTATGCTTTTTGGTTGTCTTTCACATGAACGAAATCCAAGTTAGATTTTGAACTAACCATATTCAGGGGCACCTGAGTGGCTCAGTTGGTTAAGCATCTGACTTCTGTTCAGATCACTATCTCATGGTTCTTGAGTTCAAACCCCGCCTCCATTCTGTGCTGACAGCTCAGAGCCTGAAGCTTGCTTTGATTTTGCGCCTCCCTCTCTCTGCCCCTCCCCCACTCATGCTTTGTCTCTCTCTGTCTCTCCAAAATGAACAAACATTTAAAACTTTTTGAAATAACCATTTTCAGCTAATCAACAATCTAGATACTTACCAGACTCGTGAGAAATTGTCTTAACAGTGAGAAGCTTCACACTCTCTTTATCGGACTGAGGTCTATTTGGAACAGAAAACATAAGTGAATATTGTAATAATTAACATTGTATGTCTGTGAAAGAAAGTATACATGATATAAACAGAATGAAGAAGCATAAAAGCACATATATATTTTTATGTATTTCTATGGCAAAAACTGTGTCTTTTTACATACAGACAGACATGTACTTTTATAACACTTTCTGCTTTAAAATCAAGCCAATAAATCTCTGTCCCACTGTTAAGCACTGATAATCTGATAAACCCAGAAATAGGTCACATGAAACACTTGTCACAAGGTCCATATCACAACGGTCTCTGGTGCCTGAAGGGAAGGCAGAGGAATGTTTGCAAATTAGCTTTTGGGCTAATGTTGAGTTCTGGGGATATCCCTTTTCATGAAGCCCTGTCTCCTACACTACAACATCTGAGCTGTCTATTCTAACCAAGACTCCCCACTTAATCCTTTCTCAGAATTGAAACAGTTTTAAACCCAGATTACCTTCCTTGGACATCTCAAGAGACTCTATTTCTAATCAAGAAAGGTAGGTGATCTAGGAATATTATTTTTAAAGTTCACAACTCCGTAAAGGCAACCTACAAATTCACGTCAACGATGAGAATCTTAACTATTAAAGAGATATTAAAATAGTTTGTCTCTTTGCAGAACCTTGACTGTAACAGTTGCCTAGATTGATAACCTCTGGTTTTTTGTTTGTTTGTTTATTTTAATAAAGTCAAAGTACAATAACCATTGACTGCTAAGATAAAGTCACTCAGAGCTGTCTCAAAGCACAGGCATGATTATTCCTTAACTGTGATGAACATACTGAAAATTTCACTGGGAAAGTGATCTTTTTTTTTTTTTTTTTTTTTTTTTTTTAAGAGAGAGAGAGAGACAGCATGAGCAGGGGAGGGGCAGAGAGAGAGGGAGACACAGAATCTGAAACAGGCTCCAGGCTCTGAGCTAGCTGTCAGCACAGAGCCTGACATGGGGCTCGAACCCATGAACCGTGAGATCATGACCTGAGCCGAAGTTGGACACTCAACCGACTGAGCTACCCAGGCACCCCACTGGGATAGCGTACTTAAAACTCTATCTTAAAAATCTCTATGAGATTTTTCTTTATAGTTATTTATATTCATTCTTTTCCCTTTGCATTCCATCTTTGAATTTCCCATTTTACTACTTTATCCAAGCTTCAGAACAAATCTTCCTGCCTTTCAGTTGTTGGAATTTCTTTGTTGGATAGAGAGTTCTGACAAATAGCCAAACCCTATTTCTAGTGCTTTTTGTACAATTTGTTTTAAAAAATAAATCAATAAAAGTATAAGTAGAAGATTAATGTTACGTATAGATAGACAGGTAGATAGATAGATACAGATATGGTAGGATCAGAGCTTCTGGAAAAAATGATATGGCTACTTACTGGTCGTTTCCATTTTCTGGTGTGCCTAAAGGAGAACAGACTTGTTATTACAGCTGTGAGAAGCTGGCTACAACCTGCCCCCCACTCCCCCCGGGCAAAAAACATCCACTCCCAGACCCCAACTACTTTCTGTGCAGAGATGTTTATAAAGCCACTTTGTAACTTTTTAAACATTTCCATTGCTGCCCCCACTGGACTTTTTCTCAGATATGGTTACTACTATTCCTCAGGTATGGCTGACGCATTCATGGGATAGCCCTAAGTGGGACAACTCCCCTGAATTTAGTTCTGGACTAATTTTAATCTTATAGTTTCATATTGCTATGTGAAACTACTATCCATTATCACACATCCCACAGACACCAGAAAATGTCTCAGTTTATTTTAGTATCTCTGAAAAAGAATTTTCCTCAAAGTATCAAATTACCTTTTTAGACCAGAGAATTGGATTGTTGGCTCTCCTTTATACATTGCTCTTTCTGGTGACACAAGTCACTGTATTTGTGGCAAACAACGGTGTAGGCATTGCCTCTAATTGCATCTGGAGCCCACTGATTCAGCCTCTCAAAAGGGCCCTGCAGAATGTCACTGAGGCTACTAACTGTAACTAATCTGTTTGCTTTGCCTGGCCGCTCATCTACAGTCTGGTAGAAGACATTTTGGGGGGTAGAGTGAGAATTCAAAATGATTCATTCCGCACAAAACCTTGGCCTTTAGGGAGGATATGTTGGTGGTCAAACCTTGCATTAATCTGTGGCATATCAGGCAAACTATTTAATGTAATTGCCTAGGGCCCCCCCTTGTTTTGTTCCCAACTGTGCTGTGGTTTTATTTCATTGCTACTCAGCTTTCATCTCTTGGATTTCCTTTCACGTCTAATGTAGCCCTTGACATTGAGATGTGCCTTTTAACTATAATTCTCCTGGCAATGACCATCATTGTTTTGTAAAGAGTTTGATTTCCACTAATATTTTGGCTACTTCTATTTCTGTCACCTTGGCTAAGACACAGCAGCATGACTCTTAATCCCTAGGATATAATTCATGGCACCATATGCTGTTCACCAATTCAATCTAACTTTGTCTTCCCAACATCAGTAGGATTTTAACAGCATTTTTAAATTCCTATTTTAAGTGTTATGTATGATATCACTCATGATGCTCATAGCCCTGTTTCAAAGTGAGTTGAAATTTTCTTTCATGTCTGTTTTTCTCCCTCTTAGAATACTGTAATACAGATTAATTATCAGATAGATGCATACCAACAGACCACCTTCTGCATATATGCTGTTCTTACTTAGGTTAAAGCTTGGACTACTGTCAACATTATCTAGATACACTTAATTCCATACCAACATCTCTGAATCATGTTGTCTTCCAGAAAGCAGAGAGTATTTACAAATTTTCTGAACTTGAAGTCTAACCCACATACTTGAAGAGAGATGAACTGTGGGTGTTTAATGGTACTAATTTAATAACAGTGCTGTAAAAATCTGTTCAGAAAGGAAAGTTAACAATAACCAGATAGATTTTGCTAATTGTACAATTACCGAATTTGGTTATAAAGTATTATGTGCCTTCAGAATAACTCTCCATAGCTATAGGTATTTTATACATTTTTTCCCCTGAATGATCCAATTCGTCCAATTCATTTCGTTAATAGAAAATGTCAACTTTTCAAATACCTTAGTTGCAAATCATCTTATGCAAAGCAGTCTTTCAGTACAGGGTATTTTTACAAATGGATTTAGCACATTAATTTTTTTTTTTTAACCTGTCCTACTCAACACCCACAAGCTTCAACTTGGAGGGTCGATTTCCCACATAAAATAGGATTGGTGGTTTAGATATGTGGAGGAATTAAACTGATTTACAAAATTGCTATTTCCCTTCTGGAAACTGACTAAGGAAACATAGTTCAGAGATTATTAAGAAGTTTATTCACTAACTCCCAAAGGGAAAGGCATTTATTTGTTTTTTTTTTCTTATCTTCCAATAAGAGCTAAAATGAACACTACTGGCTTTTTGTGTAACTTTGCCTTGTACTGTCACACTTGTGCCCTGAACTCTCCGTGAGGTGCATGGTCAGGGATTGGGCTCAGGAACCGCATCCAGTAGTGTTCATGGGGTGAACAGAGAATAGTGTGGCTTGCGTATCTTATAAAAACAATCGTTGTTTACTTTAGAGTATATGAGACTTCGGTAGTATTCTGTTAGTAAAATATTTAGAATTGAAGTGAGGTAAGGGAAGGTCCTATTTTACTGAAAATTAAAATTTTAAGTCAACAGCAACAAGCAAGGCTCTGCTATGTATCATACACAGTGTGATGTGAACAACACGTGCTTTGTGACTTGGGGGCTTGCCTGATGTTATGGACTGAATGTTTGTGTCCTCCTGAAACTCATCTGTTACGTCTTAATCCCCAGTGGGATGGTATTAGGAGGTAGAGCCTTCAGAAGGTCATTAGGTCAGGAGGGTGGAGTCCTCATGAACCAGATCCTTTATAAAAGATCCCAGAGAGCTCTCCTGTCCTCTCTGCCATGTGAAGACGCGGCGAGAGGGTGGCTGTTTATAAACCAGGGAGAGTGCCCTCATGAGACATCAAATCTGAGGATGCCTTGATTGGACTTCTCAGCCTCCAGTACTGAGCGGAGAAATGTTTGCTGCTTAAGCCACACTATCTGTGGTGTTTTTGTTATGACAGACCCAACAAACTAAGACCCAACCTGCAGTGGAAGTAGGCACATAGACAAGTGACTGTACGATAATGGATGAATATTATTACAAAATTCTGTGCAAGTCGAAGTAGGAACACTCTAGTGTCCTTAAAGTGTGTTATAGAAAGATACACTCAATTGCTGTTTGAGCTAGATTTTCATGGATAAATTGCAGATCAGGTATGTTACAAAAGGTAAGTGGTGAGCAAGGCATTCTGGGAGAGGGAGTATATGGATGAAGGCTCTATACTATGCAACCAGGCCTCAGGTCTGGAATGAAAAGACAGGTCTGTGTTTGAGACAATGGGGTGTGGGGGGGTGGGGGGGTGGGGGGGAGGGTGCTGAGCCACGGGAACTGAAAGTGGTTTGAGAGAGCTCAAGTGTCTGGGACAGGAAAAAGACTGAAGAAAGATTCAGAAGACTGAATAAAGTAAGGATTTAGTTCATCACAATGTATTGATAGTGGTTGATTAATTGTGGCAAACATAGCATACTACTGTTAGATAGTAATAATACAGGAAACGGGTGTGGTGTAGGGGAACTCTTGAACTACCTTCGTGACTTCTTTGTAAATCTCAGTCTATTTTAAAATAACAAATTATTTTAAAAAGAATAAAAATCTGATGCAATTATGGAAACCATAAATCTTTAAGAGGAAGGAGAAGAAGATGAAGCAGCAAAAAGGAAAAATAAAAACAAAGGGTAAGGGTGTAAAAGAGAACAGTGCTATTTGCTTACATATTTATTTAATCTCATTTCAGGAGTAGAATTTACTGGTTCATCACTTACATACAACATCCAGTGTTCATGACAACAGGTGCCCTCCTTAGTACCCATCACCCACCTATTCCATTCCACTACTCACCCAATCACCTCCCCCTCCAGCAACCCTCAGTTTGTTCTCTACAGTTAAGAATAGCAGTAGCATTTTAAAGAAAAGAGGAAAGTCCTTAAACTCTATTGGAGAGATTAGGAGGGTAATAAAGAATTGCCACACTAAAATCCTACTAAAAGTTGCCATCGTGTTCAATCTTGAGAAGATGAATCAATTAGCAGGACACATAGTCATGGAACACACCTTTATTGAAAGGAAGCTGTGTCCCCCAGAAGTGAATAAGTCACAGAATGCTCCTCTGGAGACTATGGGCCCATCAGTTGAATCCTTAGCAATACAGGGGTGCTCAGTCAGTTAAGTGTTCGACTTTAGCTCAGGTCATGATCTCATGGTTCGTGGGTTCAAGCCCCATGTTGGGCTCTGGCTGACAGCTCAGAGCCTGGAGCCTGCTTTGGATTCTGTGTCTCCCTCTTTCTCTCTGCCCCTCCCCTGCTCATGTTCTGTCTCTCAAAACTTAATAAATGTTAAAAAATTGTTTAAAAATCCTTAGCAATATTACCTTTATTTTTTGTCACATGGAAGTGGAAAAAATCTTCACTACAGATAAATTTATGCCTTCTTTACTACCATAATCCCCTGACACTCACAAAACTGGGTTTATTTCATTAAAAAGAATCTGTTCATGTCTGATTACATATACCACTAGTAAATGCTCAGTCCTTACACCCATCAGCATTCAATGGGTTTCTCTACCCCTTCCCGTCTATTTCTGTGATCAAGCAACATGGCACTTTCGTTCTTTCTGTAATCCTCCTCTCCCCTCAAGGGTTTAAATTCAAGTTTAGACTGAATATATATTCACCTTTCAGGAAACAAAATGAGACAAAACCCTGTCACCTACCTGGGTCGGTCTTCCGGCACATTCGATACAAACCCACAAGAATAAATGCTGAAAGTGTCACCACAATCAAAGCAATAACCACTGGCAAAATAATACCTAAAGTGTATTGAAGACATTATCAATTAGTGTGGCTGCTGAATTTAACAGTAAGTAGTGTACCAAGTAAAAGCATGCATGGCGTCCTTCCTTCTTTCAACATCACTCTACGAGACATATTATATTTTAGGCAAAGAAGATAAATCTGATTCAAAGGTTTTGCTCTGGTTGTCATTTCTGACACATCCACTTGATGTCAGTCTTGCAGCCTTTTGAAATAAAATTCCAAACCTAAGGGAGCTGGTTCCTCACCTTAGAGACTGGAGAAGTGAGGCAATGGAAGACTGGGAAGATGTCCTCTAGACTGTAGTCTGACTCACATTCACACAGTCTATTCTTTACTCCTTCATAATAAGGTTACTGGAATCTATCTATCTATCTATCTATCTATCTATCTATCTATCTATCTTTTATCTATCTATATCTGCCATACTGGAATTGCTCTAGTCATAATGTTGGCATCCTAAAATACTTGCAAATATCTTTCCATAATAATATCTTAAAACTAGAAATGGCATAAAACAGCATAAGTGGACATAAGTGGATATCAGAATCGATTTCTAAAAGTGAACACATAGTTCAAGAAAGATGTATGTGGTTGTGGCTCTCCATTTAAGGGAGAGGTGTTGGGACAGTTAATTAGGGTGAGTTTTTAAGAGGGGAGTCTTGCTGTTTTGCTTTGTTTTTAGCACCTGCCTTATTTTCTGACAGCCATTTCCCAAGACAGCTATCATAAGGGTACAACCAGAGATGTAGAGGTTATAGTTCTTATTTAATTAGCTATTCTTAGCTGCTTGCATATGTACTCTTAGTACTTATTCAATTCATTTGTAGGATGGCATACACTTCCAATTTTATGGTTAAATGTTTGTTTCACATTAGACCTTGAGCGAGATCATTAGTGCCTCCCCAAATGAAGACACCATGAATTACACACCAGTAAATGGAATGCCGACTTACTGAATAGAATGGCTTTACCTAAAATTAGATAATCTTTTCTCATCCAGCATTATATACATTCACCTTATTCTTAATCTCTAGAGAAATTAATGGAATTTTTCTATTCAGTCCTAGAATACACATATTTTATATGACATCTATGTTTTTGCTAAAATGGGGCATTTCTTTAAAGCCCATTTTTAACATTAAGGTAGAGTTCTCTGAAGGTAAACAATTCATTTTTATAGACCTCTCCGCTTGTGCACTTTTGGCCTATCTGAGACTAGTCTCATCAATTCACAGTGTAAGGGAATTCATAAAGTAAGGGGAAAAAATCCCACTGTGTGCTCATTAAAACCAGACTCAAGGGGCGCCTTGGTGGTGGCTCAGCGGGTTGAATGTCCGACTTTGGCTCAGGTCGTGATCTAACGGTTCGTGGGTTCGAGCCCCATGTCAGGCTTTGTGCTGACAGCTCAGAGCCTGGTGGTTGCTTTGGATTCTGTGTCCCCCTTGCTCTCTGCTCTTCCCCTGCTCATGATGTCTCACTCTTTCAAAAATAAATACATTAAAAAAATGGAAAACCAACAAAAGAACCCCCCCACCCCTGACTCAATAGTAGGAAATTCTCAAACAGCAGTTAGATAGGATTATGATGGGATTGCAGGTTCAGTGAAGTTGATAAAAGGTTGTCTATAATTGATTCCTCTCCTTTATTCGTCACATTCAAACGTTCTGTGTATTTATCGCCATGAGTGAAGATATGTTCATTACTCACTGGAATAAGAGGGCTTGGCTGAAGAAGAGCTTGCATTTTTTGCATCCTCAGTACCTATTATTTTAAGAAAGAAAAAAATAAATCACCTTTGGTTAATGTATGCCAATCTTTCCCATCCTTCCCCCATTCCTTTCCTCCCATTTAAGCAGGCCTCTGTGATCTATAAGTATGATACTTCAGGTGGAAAAAAAAAAAACTCATCTCATTCTGAAAGGTCTCTGTTTTGTACACCAAGTTCGGTAGGGAGTTCATGTATACAACTTCATGAGTTTGGACAAATATATGTAACTGTGAAACTATCACTGCAATCAAGGTAATAGATAAATCACATTCAAAGTTAACACATTATCACTTTCAAAGTTTCCTTGTGTCCCTCCAGTTTTTATTTGTATTTTGATTAGACCTCAATAAAGCTTTTAAAAAAAGATTGTAGGGCTTTCTCGGTCAGAAGGGATCAAGTAAGCATGTTTCCCCTCGTGTACACAGAAGTCATACCTTGAAACTGGGAGGTGTTCCCTGGAACTGTTACTGGCATTGAAGGTGACGTACTGGCATGAGAAGGTGATATCCCTGGATGTAGAGCGTTCACTGTAGGGAAATCACACACCCAGTCAGACAAGGGTATTAATTCTTCCTGAATTTCTTTGTAGATTTAAACAGTTTGCATTTCTGAAGACCTGTGAAAACTGTTTATTGTTGAATAATAGGATACATACAATTGTACACTTAATCATAAGTTCATCAATTCTTCCTGTAGAGATGATTAAATCTGGAATCACAAAACCTAGGCGTCAGCAGCACATCTTTAAGAACTGGCCAAGAAAGCTTGAACAAGTCTCTTATCCTAAGCTGCAGCCTTTATCACCTGTGCATGAAATTCTCGTAGGAGGCAAATCTATTCAAGAACAGCATTCACATTTCAGGCATTACAACTTTGGGGGATGTTGTTTGTTTGTTTGTTTTTCCCACTGTACTTAAAATAGACATAAATGCATAGGACTTCAGATTTTATTGTGTTTCTTGGTGGTTGAAGAAAAGATTGCATCTGAGGCTTTTGTTGGAAGTATTGACTGGGGAAAATATCAAGGAAAATTCCTTCATTTTCACCTTTAAAGCTCAGTAGTTGTTTACATTTATGTGCCTTCTCTAGAATAACTGCTACTTGATTGCATTTCCACCACTGCCTGTGCTCTTTTCTTACAAAGATAATGTTAATTTTAAGTTATTATTATTCTCATTAATTTGTTTGCTCAACTCAACATCTGCAATCTTCAATCAGAAGGACTGACACAAAAACTATAAATAAAGTTGCATTATTCAAAATCCACTGATCTCAATAAGTTGCCAGGGAATATAAATAAGTGCTTTGTAAGCTTGAAGCATCTATTCTTGAGAATCTGGGATAAAACACAGTTTGTGTTTAGAATGATTTTGAAAAAGAATTATTTTTCAAAGACTATCGTTTAAAGGGATTTCTTTTTATCACACCTGTTCGGCTTGTCTCACCGCTAAATTTTAAGTTGCCGCCGTGTGAAGGCCATAACCCCCACTATCCTCTACCTAGAGCTCTAACTATAGTGAGTGTGCAGTGAAATATAGCTGACTGCTTGGCTGCACCAAGAGGCATCGCTTATAATTATGGCCCCCTTACGAGTACTGAGGCCGTGTATAATTGCATCAAAGAAATTGATATCGCCTATGACTGCTTTGGATCTTTCCCTCTTTGCCACCCACAGCCCAGCGTGCGCTGCATGCTCATGCATTTTTGACATCTGTGGGGGAAGAATGATGTTTAGAGTCTGTATCGTTCTTGCCATGCAAGGGATCTGTGGGAGGGAGCTAGATATATGCCCATAAGAACAAAGAAAAATGTCAGGCTAGTGCACTAAAACAGGCAGAAAAAGAAATATTAAATGAAAAGACTGGGAACTAGCTTTTAGTTGTTTTTTCCAGTGTTAAATGTTTTAGTGAGAATGTTGCTCTTTAGATTGTGTTGGTAGAGAACAAGATGGCTGATTAAGTTACCAATGGCATTAATCCACCTGTGATATCCCAAGGGTTAATTTTCAAGACTCCGTATCCTATCTTACTACCTTCTCTCTTTTTTTAAAAAAAATGTTTAATTTATTTTGGGAGAGAGAGAGTGAGAGCACAAGCGGGGAGAAGCAGAGGGAGAGAGAGAGAATCCCAAGCAGGTTTTGCACTGCCAGCACAGAGTCCAACATGGGTCTCGATCTCATGAACCATGAGATCATGACCTGAGCCAAAATCAAGAGTCAGACGCTCAACAGATAAGGACACCCAGGCGCCCCTATCTTACTACCTTCGCACAGACAAGCTGAATGACTACAATTCTGAATATAACCTGTGTGGTTTAGGTAAAACTACAAACTTTCCTACTTAAAACATGTTGATAGTCCAGTGCCAACCAGTAGTGCTAATGATCCACAGGGTGGCGATACAATTAACTCTTCTTGAGAGAAGAATTTATTAGCTATTTGGACAAAGACTTAAAATTTTTGTTTTTCTTTTAACTGCAAACTCCAGTTAATAAATCATTTCTAATTTCAGTACATCTACACACACACACGCACGCATGCACACTTTACCTCTAATAATGGTGCAATGCCTTCTGGTATTTTGTTTTCTCTTGTCTTTTATTTAATTTTTCCAATGATTGGTCATGCCCTGCTTACAGTAATTAACTCACAGTTTGAGAAAGCCTGTCTATTAGAATGTTCATATTGATGAGATTATTATTCTTGGCTTAATTCAAAAACTGTGGGCCTAATGGAATTCTTTCTGTGACTAAGATAGAAGGATCCATGGTGTGTTCAGAGCTGATAATCTCTGAGGATTTTGCTGAGACTCTATTATCCTGCATTACTATTAATGCAGTGTGGGCAGAGGAGGTACAGGAGAAGTATAGTGGAGTATTTAAAAGCATGGATCTGAAGCCAGAGTACATGGGTTCAAATCTGGCTATAGAACTGGTTTCCTGAGGAATGCTGGGCAAGTCACTGAACCTCTTTTTTTCTTTGTAAAGTTTTTATTTATTTATTTTTAGAGAGAGAGCAAGAATGCAAGCTGGGGAGGGGCAGAAAGAAAGAGGGAGAGAATCTCAAGTAGGGTCCATGCTTTCAGCATGAAGCCTGAGGTGGGGGCTTGATCCCATGACCCCAGGATCATGACCTGAACTGAAATCAAGAATTAGACACTCAACTGACCGACCACACAGGTGCCTCAGGTCACTTAGCCTCTTTGTGCTTGAGTTTCCACATGTACAAATGGTGATTATAATAGTTCTATATCGTAGTGTCATAAAAGTTAAATGAGTAAAATTAAATTTGAATTGCTTAGAAGAATACTTGATACTAATATATTTATATTATATATACTATTATTGTATCATAATATAAGATTATGCTGTATTGTTATGTTATTTTATAATAATATTTTTTAAATATTGTGATTAGGCCTCTAAAGGGTTGTACCTTTCAACCGAAGTCAACTTTTCTAATTTTCCCAAAAATTCTTAATGTAAAAATATATGCAATAGGCTTTATGGCTACCTCTATCATTCCTCCTTAACACCTTTGCTACCTCTACGTTTTTAGATACTTCTTTTCTCTAGCCAGGAACTGGAGTAACTGGAGTATATAATGATCTTAGATGACATAGATTCACTGTTGAACCCTGACTTTTAGTGACTGTATGATTATTTAATTGCAGATATGTTCTGTCATAATTTAAATCCAGTTCACAAGCTTCAGGCCAATACTTGAAGCAGGCTGTTTGGGGTAGAGACCCTCAGAACCAAGTCTGTTGTAATAATGTGTAATCAAATTGCCCCCACCGGCATCTGACAGCAGCATATATTTGGCCCTTGCTGTAAAGCAACTACCTGATAAATCATTGAGGGTTTTAAAGACAGAATACCTTATTGAGATCTCAGGGGACCCACAGTGGCTGTGAGAATGAGCTTCAGAAAACTCTAACTACAGGAAGTATAATTGGCCAGGGTTCCCCACCTCCTTTCTGAAATTCATCGCCGTGTTCTTGTTGATGCCATGCCTCTCCCAGGCTGCTCCCAGGCAATGGCTGATCTTAGCCGGCCTGTTCCTGGGAGTCATAAACTCCTCTGAGGAGAGATTGGGACAGGAGGAGTCCCTGACGGCATTTTCAGAGGAGGATATATATGATACGTAGATATTAATGGGAGAAAAGCATGAATGGCAGTAGAGGATAAACCATTCTATATGAGAAAGGAAATACAGCTATATATTGTATTTTTATTTCTTGTATATTGCCTACACTTCTTTCTAAACACTTTCTTTTTTACACTTCTTTCTAAACACTTCTTTTTTACTTCTTTCTGAACGCTTTCTAAACACTTTCTATACTTTGTAAACTCTTTTTTAAAAAAGTTTTAGAAAGTATTTATTTTGAGAGAGACAGAGACAGGGCAAGTGGGAGAGGGGTAGAGAGAGGGAGAGAGAGAGAGAGAAAGAGAGAATCCCAAGCAGGCTCTGCACCACCAGCACAGAGCCGGATGTGGAGCTTGAACCCATGAAGCTTTAAGATCATGACCTAACCTGAAACCAAGAGTCAGATGCTTAACCGACTGAGCCACCCAGGCTCCCGTTTCTAAACACTTTCTAAACTTTCAAAACATTTTAAAACTTTCTAAACACTTCTATCACTTCTTTCTAAACACTCTTTTTTACACTTAAAGAAGTACCCAAGGGGTTAAACTCAATTGAATTGAAGGATTGTTTCCCATTATTTATAAATAATTGGGACACTTGCTTCATTGCAATGTGGTGGATTCATGTCTCATTTTAAAAAATAACTTTTCAGCACTTGACACAATGAATCATTCCTCCTTACCACCTTTGCTTCATGTGACTTCTGGTAGAGCACACTTATGAGCTGGTCTTCTTGGTCTCTTTGGCTGGTTCCTTCTTTCTCTGACTCACAAGCTTGGAGGGTCCCAATGCTTAGTCCTTAGTCTTCATCTCTAACTATGCTAATTTCTTTGATGATCTCATTCAATTTCAAGGCTTAAATATAATAACAGTGCCAATGATCAGCTAATTTATATTTCCAGACCTCATTCTTAAACTCCAGATTCATAAAGCCACATGTTCACGCAGAAAATAATAAACATCTGAAATTCCACATGTCCAAACTTGAACTTCTGCTTTATCTTTAGCCTTCCCATCTGGCAATCATTCCTTCCAGTGGCTGAGGCCAAGGTCTCACGGCTATTTTTGCCTCATCTTTTACAACCTATCCCACATCCAGGATCACTAGGAATATATCGATTGGATTCACCTCCAAAATAGATGCAGAATTTGGAGACTTCATGCCACCTACTCTGTGACTATGCTGGTCCAAGCTAACATCATCTCTCTCCTGGAAAACTGCCAAAGTATTTTTGCTTCATCTGACAGTCTTTTCTTAGCTCTCAGATTTATATTTATAAAATATGAGTCAGATCATGTCACTACTTTGCTCAAAACTCCCAATGTTTCCCCATTCCTCTTATGGAAAAAACCAGAGTCCTTGCAATAATCCTCCAAATC